CAGCCTCCAGCCTTCCTCTTCTGATCCTCTCCCTGCTCATGTTTTATTATTTTGCTTTGACTTAGGAACTTTTGCCAGCCACAGAGCACTTCACAGGATCTTGAGCCACAGGCTTGGGTTGGGACAGGTGGTATCACAAATGGCTACAAAGCCACATTGCCTCCGAGGAAGCATCTGGTCCTTGGAGTCAGAGTAATCTTATACTTGAACCAGCTTTACTGGAGGAATAAACAGTTTGTGGATATTATTGATACGCAGATGCGTGCTCTGATGGAGGGGGGCTCTGGTTTTATATCCTTTCTGTCCCATGGAGGTGGTCGGTGCCTCAGGGTCATGTAAGGAGGAATTAATCTTCGAGCAGTGGGAAAGACTCCACAAATGCAAACAGAGCAAGGCTTATTTAAAAGTAGAGCTGTCGGCATGAGAAAAACTGAGAATCTGGCCAGTAACAAGTCTGCAATTACAGGTTTCAAGATGCTAAGTGAATGCAAGTAACTTTTCTACTTAAGCAATAAAGGATTTAATATCCAGTTGGTGTGCTTATCACAAATGTGATAATAGAGATGTCCATTTTATTTGCTGCTGTTTAGCCTAGTTTTCATAAATGACTGATAATTAATTAATTGAAGGCAGTATTACAAAAACCAATCTGCTTACAAAGGCTCCTTTTAACCAGCAGTTGTCATATTCGTTGTGATCTCAGAGAGATAAGTTCTAAGTTATTATATTTTCTCAGACAAACTAGCAAATAAACATGAAAAGAAACAGTAAATGTGAAATACCTGAAAAATGCTTTCATGCTTTTTTTTTTCCCCTCCAGGTAAGGACTCTGTTCAGAAATCATTCTCTTTCTTTGTAGTGATTTTTTTTTTCTTTTTTCCTGATAAGAACAGCAAATTTGCTGGAGTTATTGGCAAATCAGGGTCATAAACCAATCTCCTTCCTCGTATCTGATAGTACACAAGAAGTAATCCCCATGTAATCAATAATTCTGTCTATACCAATAAATAAAATGTGCCTCAGACCATACTCTGGCCCTGGGGGCAGGGGCACAACATATCCAAGCAGATACACACTGTTATCCCCAAAAAGGAGTAGATATACCAACCAGGAATGGACCTTTTCCCATGCTAACTCCCAAGCCATGCCCAGGCACTGTTCTGGAAGTCTTAATTGACAAAAATTATGCCGGGATTTGTTTAAACTTGTGATTTAACAGTTTGATGTCTGAGGGTCAGTGCTCAGTGTAGACTTGCCCAGTCTATGTGGTTAGGGCACAATCCAGACCCCAAGCATAGGAACGTTGGTTTTTTTTAGGCTGGGGAAAGCATGAGCAATCTTGCTCCAGGACGTATCTCAAAAGTCTTCATCAAGACTGCACACGTCCAGCTTTGTTTTCCTGCTCTGCCACGGTCTGTCTGCATGACCTTGGGCAAGTCACTCTCTGGCTGGGCTGCAGACTGCAGCGTAGCATAGCAATAACTGTGAAGGGGCTAGAAAGTGTCCCCAAAGCAATGGGAGCTGGCATTTTGGTACAGCCTGGTTCACCTGGCCTTTCAGAAGAGTAAACTAACCTACAATGACCCCAGTGTTGCCAGAGTGCATTTTAAACCCATCTCAGGCATTTGAAACCACACTGCAGTCTGCACTCTGGCTGTAAGTGCCATCTCTCTGCTTTTCCTCTAGCGAGTGGAAAGACCAAGACTTCCCGACTTACAGGGGGGCAGTGAAGATAGATGTATCCAAGGCTATAAGCTCTTCCAACACTACAGCAAGTAACGAATAAACAATCATTACCCTTCACAGCCAGATTTTCTTAGGAAAAGCCAAGCAGTTTCATTAGATTTTGCAGCCCAACAACAACTATTTCAAAACCAGAGCAGTTTGCTGAAACCTGCTTGTACGGCTCCCAAAAAGTTCCCGTGAAAGACCTGGCAAGAGCTCACCCACAGCCAGCCTTCAGCCAGCCTCACCTCAGAGACTCGAACCAATTTGGGCTCCGGCAGGAGACAAGAAGAGGGACAAAGTGAGAGCTGCTCACAAGACTTGAGGGGAAGAAAAAACTACAAGATGTTTTTGCAGCTCCCAGATGGAGCAGGAGAGCAGTTGGAACAGCTCAACACGTTGTTGTGGTTCCCAAACCAGTACAGGTTGACACTTGACCCATGTCAGCTGCAGACTAAACACATCTGGGACACCTTCGCGTGTTCTTAGAAGAATTTTATTCGATCTGAAGCCATTATTAAAAGAACAAGACAGAGCAAAATCTAACCAAGCATTAACAAAGCAACATGTCCTTTGAGAAAGTGAGGCAACCTAAAAGATCCTGGTGGGTCCTTATGGTGCAGGGAAGTTTAGCTGAGAAAGCTCCCAAGGACATGGACCGGTGAGTGTGATGAACACTGGTCCGCACTGAATGAGGGCAGCCAGATGTGACCCTCTTGTTTGCATTCCCCTGAGGTCTAGCCACAACCGTTCCTTCATGTCACGACTCAGGTAAAAAGAAATAAAAAACCTGTAGCTACAGCTCTTTGCTGAACATCCAGAGACTGATCTACCCTAGCGGGTGTAGCATCCCAGGTAGTTCTGGTTAAACACATCCAGACACCCCAAAACAAGAAACACATGCCTGGGTTTCTACAGTCTTTGCTCAGAGATGCGGAGGTCAGTAAATAGCCTGGGAGCCCAGATTAAGTCAATATTTTGGCCATGGCTTGAAGGAGAGAGCAAGAGATGTTTGCCCACAACTTCCTAAGCCTGTAGCTTGGTAGATGGGACAACAGAGATGACAGAGAGGGGGCTCACCTCATGAATTAATCTATATAAAGTAGTAATTTATTCCTAGCAGCTGGTCAAAGAGACCAAAGGAGGTGATTTTCTGAAGACACACCATAGCTGAAGGCCAGTCCGGGTTCAGAGCTGACCGCAGTCCCACAACAGAGTCCTTACCGTACCAGGAAAAGAAAAACTGTGGCAAAGTCTGTTTCTCTTTCTCAGTAACACCAGGGATTCTCCTTATCCACAGAAATGGGTTGTAATCATTAGCTTTTCTCTAAAGTGCAGTCACAGATTTTGGCGGCTTTACCTCCCTTCACTGAGAAGTGGGTAGAAAGCTGCCTGCCCTGTCCAGCTTTAAACCTGGGTGTTTAAGGACATTTATTCCTTCATCCAGAAGATGATGCACAGCAACTACTTGGGGGATTGGAGGTGCCGGGTTGGTATTTGGCAGTGCTCAGAGTCAGACATCTGTGCTTTGGGAAAACCTTTCTCTGTGTGAATTATCTACCGATCACTTATTCCAATAAATCTCTAATCCAGACCAGGTTGTTTTTTCCTTTGCTTTTATCTTTAAAAAAGGAGGCACTCTCCTAGTAAGAAAACACATTGCAAGTGACCCCATCCTAGTTTTCCAAGCTCAGTTAAGGTTTCTCTACAGAAGAAAATTAATTTGGATTGAGAGAGTAGAATGACTATTTCTGTATAAAGCTGGTTTATAATTATGTTAGTCCAGATTATCAGTGTTCTCCACTGAACTAGCTTAATCTTGACTTTAAAAATAAGCAAAATGGAAAGAAAGCACTTTAATTCTGCAATAGCAGGATTGTCTTCACAGCAAACTAAAAGATAAAATTTGTTCAGGGATATTTAATCAGGAATAATTCGTGTTTCTGAGCACTCCTTGCACTCAGGACTTTCCAGCAGCAGCAAGGACACCTTTTCATTTCCACACACTCAACACCAACAGCCACAACTCTGCACAAAGCAATTACTGTAACGTCTAGAGCAACGGGACCAAATTCCAACTGCCCCCCCCGGCCCTTTTACTGAAGCAAAAATACCATTAAAATCAATCTATCTCTCTGCTTCAATTTTTGGGACAGGGACGGGCTTTACTTTTTTTCCTGGTAAATGAACAGTAAGAAACAAATGATAACTTTAGGATCTGGCCGGTACTTGCAAGAGCACTACCTCTCTCATCCCTGAGGATCTCTTTGAAAAAAGGGGGACAGATAACCCCAAAGAGCCTCTCTGGTTTACAAGGACCATATCCTCTTCCCTATGACCTGAGCCATGAGTAACGAGCGTGCTAGGGAGTTTGTTACACTCTATTAAATAAATTCCGCCTCTGGTGCAATGTCTGGGGGAGCATGCAGATATACTGTAATTCGCAGAAACTTCTTTCAGTAGCCACCTGCAAACTTTACACCTTATTTCCTCATAGCAGGTTAGTCCTGGTGAACTGGATTGCTCCAGATGAGAGGGAAAGCGGATAGGTGCTTGTGTGCTGGGGAAATATTCCTGAGATCATTCGTGCCCAATTGTTTATTCTTTTAATTGGAAGGACTGAAACTTCTTTCACCTTTTACCTTGTTTCGCCTTTGCTGGAAACCTCTAGCTGATGGGATCCGTCCCAAAACTCCAGCCCATCCATCAGCAGCAGAGTTAATTATTTTCACACCGAGAGAAAAAATTCCACCTCCCTTCCCCTTCTTTGCATGCAGGTAAAGAAAAAGAGGGCAGGACACCTGAAATCGCTTCTGGCCCAAACCTCCTGCTGCTCCTATGGCACTCGCAGAGGCAGGGAGATACAGGAGCTCACTCTGCATTTGAGGAAAGCCTTTTCTGGACATATTAAAGATAAATTATCCCAGCACGGCAGTGGGGCTGGAAGAGGTGATAGTGAAACCCCAGCTCTCAACCCCCCACCGACCTCCTGTTCCTTTTCCCCGGTGTATTAACCCTTCAAGGCATTGCAAGGTCTCCCGGTCCCGAGGCTGTTCTCCACTCCCTGCTTCTGGTGCGTTAGCGTCCAGTCCCCCCACCCTCCTCCTCGTACAGAACAATAGCAAGGCACCGGTTTCGGCTGCTTCCCGAGGAAAGCCCAGATCACACGCATTTAGATAGAGAGAGAGAGATATGGTTATATTTCTCTTTGCTGTTTAGGACAAGAAATGAAGTGCTGCCTCTTTAATTGGCAAAAGCATGCAGTAAGAGCATACCTTTAATTTAGTGTTGGGATAGCTCACTTGCACCCTGGCTGTTGTCTTATTGGAGAGGGCAGCCTGCCTCAGATCCTCTAGCACTGAAATAATATCATCCAGCACGCATTTCTTATCCTGATTTTTCAACACACACAGATGGGAAAAAGTATAATTATAGCCTTTGTAGTTCACCTTCATTTCCAGCACGGCTCGGTGGATCTGCAGGATCACATCAGCCTGATGCAAAATATTGCCTCCGGGTTTGGAGAGGAGAATCACCCTGCCATACCTCCCCGGGGTGTGCAAGTCCGAATACAGCTGGCTTTTGGATTGATCGAGGGAGAAAAGGCTGCTGGCTAAGCTCCTCTCGATCTTGGCCAGGCTGTGGCTGGGGGCTACCAGGCTCTCCAGGTCAGTGTCAGGCTGGAAGCGGTTGAGCAGGCTGAAGCCGAAGATGATGGTCAGGACTGCGGGCACAGTGAGGAAAAACACCGGATGCCTGCTCACGAATAAACCCAGCTTGTAGAAAAAAGACTGGAGCCCTCTGTGTATCCCCTGCCGCAGCATCCTCCACCAGATCCAGCCTGCAGATGCTCCTGGCCGTCTTAGAAAGCACATGTGACATGTGTAGCTCCTTACCCCTTCCTGACAGTTTCCCTTTCTCTCTCCCTCTCTCTCTACTACTCCTTTAAAAGACTGCAGCAAGTTGCAGCAAGACAGCCAAATATTGATCAATGGGGTGTGTGTGCGCGCGCGTGTGTGTGTGTG